CCTGGCGGTTTGGGAGGGCTTGCGCCGCCTACACCGAACGAGAAAAACGTTTGGTCGGAGGAGGAGGCCCCGCCGCCTCCGCCGCCGCCGACGGGGGTGGCAGCGGACGAGCCTTGGAACGGAGTTGCGGTGCCTCCCGGCGTCGCCGGCGCGCTCAAGGGGTAGTGTGAGGGCGCGAGCTCGGTGTGCGGCGGGGGCAACGGCCCCTCGACCGCCGGGGGGGCGGTGACGGCGGCGGCTAGGATGGGCGGCGGCGGCGGCGGCGCGCTCGCGGAGGCCATCGTCGGCGTTGACAACCGGGGGTCTTGCTCTTGCTGCAGCGGCTGCTGTTGGTGGTGGTGGAGGTGGTGGTGGTGCAACTGCTGCTGGTGCTGTTGGTACAGCTGGTGCTGTTGTTGCTCTTGCTGTGGGTGGTGGAGCGGCTTCTGGGGGTTGTTCCATGTCAGGTGCGACGGAGCACCGTTGCCCCAGGCGTTGACGGCTTGGGCCACTTCAGGGCTGTGGTTCCGGGTGCAAGGCCGTTCGTTCGTTGTCCATGTCCGAGTTTCCGGAGTTCAGTGCAAGCGCAGAGGGCCGGAGGGGGGTTACTTGGTGTTATATGCGTGCCTTGGTTGTGAGACCGTTTACCATGGGGGGGGGGCGTGCCATTGTGTGGTGTTGGAAAACGGTACAAGTACGTGCCTTATACTGTAGGCTGAGGCGTTAGGGCACGACTTCGTCACCGACGGTCCTACCACTGACTAACCCAGCAGAGACCACCACCCTACGAAAAAATGGCCTATCCCTAACCCTAAACCGTCACCTAATTTTTACCTGCAAGGAGCCGTAGGCGGACTCCCATCGCTGTGGGACATGTCGCTCCCGACGTGGCTTAGCCGCTGGGCTAGGTCTCCGGCCGGCCCGCGCATGCCGGCGCCGCCGCCGGAACCAGGTGGGATGACTCTACGATCTCCTCCGCCGCTGTTCTGCTGCTGCAGCTGCTGCTGGTGGTGGTGATGCTGCTGCTGCTGCTGCTGCTGCTGCTGCTGCTGCTGCCGGAGGTGGTGGTGCTGTTGCTGCTTTGTGCTGCCGCCGGCGATGTTGCCGTTACCCCCCGCCGGGGCGCCGTGGGTACGTTCATGCTCGACGCTCCCTTCCGCGATGAGGCGCTTCAGCATGGCCACCGCCGTGTCGACGTTTTTTCTGTCTCCCGTCACGCAGAACGTCGACATCTGTCGACCAACAGCAGCATAGGGCGGGCACCGCGTCAGCCAAAAACACAAACATCGGCACAAGGCGCGTCGTTCATGTTACGTTTGATAGGTCCAGCCCATCACAGCAGCAAGCGAGTCATGACCCTAGCTAGCTACCCCATGATGAGGCAATCCATGCCGCCACCTTTACTACAGTCAATCTGTGTGTCTTTCAACTCTTTTTGGTTGTGTCAACAGGTGCCTCGCCGACCAGACAAAAGTTCACAGCTCAAACTCAATACCGCGCATGGATATCCAACCAATACACACATACAACACATGCAGCGAGTGATGGTACGTAGCCTTTCCTATATACTCGTACAACTTAGGGTTAGGGTAAGATAAGTTAGTGTTAGGGTAAGATAAGTTAGTGTTAGGGTAAGATAAGTCAGGGTTAGGGTAAGATAAGTCAGGGTTAGGGTAAGATAAGTCAGGGTTAGGGTTTACTAGGGTGAGTGAGGTTTAGGGTTGGGGTTGAGTTGTTGAAAAGGGCCTGACCTTGCAGTTTGCGAACACGCAGTTGGCGCCGCTCTCAGCCTGTATCTTGCGGCTGAGCCTCTGGATGGACGGCAGCAGGTTAACCGGACACTGAACGGTCTGCGTGACGCCGCCGCCGCTGGTCGACTGCGATCAAGACGAACAAAGACAACAACAACAAAACAGCAATCAAGTTTTGCGGGCGTAAAGCCGGATAAACGTTTGGGTTGGAGTATGGGTCGGCCGATGCACTCTTGACGATATCTATCGATAATAGCTAATATTACAGTAGACAGCCTTACCGTGGAGGATGGAAACGGAAATCGTATTTACACAGTAGACAGCCTTACCGCGGAAGGTGGAAATGGAAATGGAAATGGTACACTCTGATTCGGCAATCCATTTTTGTGTGGAGGCTCGAATTATTGCTGCACTTTCTCGTCTCGAAAACTGACGCGAGCTGGGAAGATCGACATGTCTCCAAGCATGAGTTACTGCGGTATGCCAGTATGTCGAAAATTGTTACCTCGTGGGACACATCCTCCCTTATCTTAAAAGTGCAACACCAAAACAAAAGCGTTTGTCGGAAAGCGACAACACGAAACAAGGAAACAACGTGTTAATTGTTAATCACCTGGGCCTTGGCAATAAACGTGGGAGCCGTTTTGACGAAGTCGTTGACGGTTTCCATGGCCCCCTCCACCTCCTGGATGGCCCTCGACTCAACAATCACACACTGCGAACGTAAACGGTTCAAGCAGGTGGTGAGCATGCCCTCGAGTTTCAACAAGATCATCACTCATGCTTCCGAGACACGCAAACAAAAGTGGGAAAGGGCCAAAAAGGCCACACGGTGAAAACGTCGAAACAAGCGAGTAGCGCAACAACACTAAATAAAAGGATCATGTGCGTGGTCGAGCGGTCGAACAGGGTCCTGGGTCTCGGTTCTATGCAGAAACGGGGATAAGTGGGCAGTGGACACACCGCGGGATGAGGACCCCGGAAGAAGCAAGCAAGCAAGTAGTGGAGTGTCGTAGGCGAATCAATCCGCCATTTCTAGAGAAAAACAAAACAATAGCATCAGAGCCCTGCGAAGATACAGGAGCAAAGAGGGGATCAGACTATGTTTACTTTCGCTTGAGAACGTCGAGGGAACGCGGAAGTGATCGAATCACCTTGAAACTAACCTCTTTTCACAGCGTCATCGCATCCGACTGCGAAGGAAGGTGCAGCGACTCATGAAAAAAACTCATTCGATGGATACCTTAGGAATCGGGTCCTCCTTACCCCAACGTCCACAACACAACACGCCTATATAACAGCAGTCCCATAGCGCAGTGCAAAGCCAAAAACATAAAAAAGACGCAATCCAAACCAATGCATTGTACTTCTATGTACCTGCCCGGGAACATCCACCCAGAGCTCTGTGCCCGTCTGCTGCTTCAGCATGCGCGCGTTGCAGCCCTTGTGCCCGATCACCCAGCCGATGATGGACGTGGGCAAGTGAGCCACCGCACGATACCGACCGCCCTTCAACATTGAAATAACAAAATAAAGACAATGAGGGGAAGTTCATGTCAAATAATCTCCAACACAACACAGCAGACTCATTCTTGTATGTTTTCTGCGAAACCAAGCATAAAACTGCTCGGAGTGCGAAGAAAAAGCATACCTGACTTGAAACAGTAGTGGATCATGTCTCGACGAGCTGCGACATGGAAAACGTCTTGAAAATGCGAACAGCGGCAGTAATTGTTCATCTGGGTGAGGACATCTTACACTCTACTACAGCAGAGTCATTATTAACCAATTACCTGTTCGGACGTCCTCCATGTCAAGGGCTCCTCTGTCGTCTGCTGATGTTGCTGCTGCTGCATGCGGGACCCAATCATGGAGCGGTTCTGATCCGCAGACAATTGTTTCAGCCGGGCCTGAAGTTTCAAAACAATAACACAAGAGGGAGATGCATCTCATCTTTGGAAAACCACCAACAGAAAAAATCTTGTGCAAACAACGATCCAACCGTGATCGGGACCTATGGCCGCCATGCGTGTAGACGTCACACCTTTGGGCAGTGCGGAACAGGATAGGATAGGACAGGGGGGCTGTCGGAAAAAAAACAAGAACCTTATATACGAGTCCCTTCTTTTCTCTTCTTTGTGCTTTCTCTCCTTGTCAGGTCCTGGTCAAGCCCTTCGTAAATTTCCTTGTTTGTTGAGTCCTTCTCAAGGCTGGCTGTGTTTGTGTCTTTGTCAAACCTGAGAGATAGCACATTCCGTGGGTGGCATGAGCTACAGTATGACACCCACGCTAAGCCAATGAAAACGCCACAATTGACAGACCCCAGCTGCTCTTCGTGCTGAAAAAATCTTTCTGAGGTCGAAAGTTCATTTTCTACGGCGGCCATAAACTGGCTCCTCACACTAAAAAGTGAAACTGAACTTTCCGGATCGGATTATTTCCGAAACTCCGAAATAACACGTTCAAATTAACCATTCTTTGGAGGCATTGGGACCTTATGCCAGACACCCCAGTGCTCGACCTGAGAGACCAGTCACGTCTACTTCGGACGCTTTTTTTGCTGAAAACCACACACTACGATCCGGCATCGGATTCTATACTAATATACTCTGTTGTGGAGTGAACGTTTTTTGAACGTTCTCCTTCTTCTGTAGGTGCGGTGGGTTCGGGTGTGTATGTACGCGTGGTCTCCATTCAGTATTAGCGTACACGTTGTCTTCAATCAAAGAAATACTGCCCTTTCAAGACACAATCACAGTCGAAGGGGATGAGTTGAAGTCTTTGCAGTGGGTGGAAAAAAAAATGGCTGGATATTTGCTTATTTCCAGTCTGTGTAAGCCTATTACATTGAGCCTAACCCGTAATGGCTCTTTAGAAAGTATATAGAAAATCAATCAAAGAAAGACTGCCCAGGCGAGATAACACCACAGTCGAAGGGGTTGTGTTGAAGGCTTTGCAGTGAGTATTGTCCTCTCCGCCCGACGTGTCGCATCCCGAGGGCAATCTACGCATGGGTCACCATTTGAGAAAACCACATAGCACCGTACCTCCAGAAATATCGCTGAACCATTGAACCCCTTGATTGACAGATTCCCCCCCCGGTCACTGCACCATTGGACCAACCCCCCACCAATGATGACGTGCATTGGCTGTCTCGGGTGACCCGCTTTGTCTTGTTTGTTTGTCGGTACGGTGGTGGCTCTGACGTGTGTCTTCTTCTGTGTCCCGAAGAGAATGAACATAATACTACTACTGTAGTACCATTATATATATAATAGGAGTATATGTGATTGATGCTGTACCTTGGCGGAGCGTCGAAGCTGCTTGAGTCCGTTCACGCCCTTCGAAGCGTCAATTGCCTGTCCCAGGGACGCCTGGTTGCCCTGGTCCATGGCCTCTTGCAGCCTCATCTGTACCCTGTCTACGGCAGACGCCATCGCACCCTGCCCTAACTCCTGAATATGGCCACAACCGAGAAAACACACATACATGTAGAGAGGACACAGACAGGTAGCCAACGGGAACGTAACGGTGGTGAGGAGTATAGAGGAGGTAATGCTACATAGCACGCCTTGAGTAGCCCCATTGTAAGCACCATGCTCTGCCGTTGCATGTTACTATACTGTAGCCTCGTAACAATTATTATTCGGATATTACATGCGTTACATACATAAGAGACCCAGAGAGACTACCCGCTAGAGATATAAGAAAATGTTGAAGTCTGTAGAGTGATACTTTCTCCCCGGCAGTCTGGTCTCTCTCTCGTTCCCATCCTTAAATCTCAAACCAACAGCTCCGGGACTACAGTACACTCGGGTGCTACTATCACCGCACGACGATCGATCGATCCCTGCCTCCCCGTTGCCACGAGTAGACTAGTCGTATTCCTCCACGATACATTCGTACGCATGCGACTGTGCACTCATCGCCGGGCAGACCCTCCGAATTTCTATGATAGTTATGGTTGGGTTGGGTTGCATTCGCCATTGCCACCCAGCAGATCGGCTGTTCCGGCAGTACGACATTGCAACTACTCCCTACTTCTAGCGTTCTTTCGTCATCTCGCCTCGGGGGGAAATAAATCCTCACAGGGGGGGGGAGGTACTGCTGTACTTTGGTGATGACAAACATATTAACTGGGGTTATATCTCGAACGGGTACGTAAATAGTCTTCAATGACGTTTATCTTTTAGAAAACAATGTGTATCATACCGTAGAATCCTTAGTAGACTATTCCTCCGACGAAACTACAGGCTGCATATAGACAGCCTTAATAATATGTGCTGCGTTCAAGCGTTAAATGTTAGTGTTGACACGACCGTTGGCACGACCGTTGGCACCACCCGAACTACGGACGGTACATGTGATTTATTACTATGCGTGCAGCTGCCTGCAGACTTAACTAAATACGTAATGATTTCCCGAACCTTTGCGGCACGGTTTACCCTAGGCCGGGGGGGCAGCGAAATTGTCTCACGCGTCAAGCGTGTTCCCCCCGTATGCACAGACAAATCAAGTTCGTTGTGGACATCTTGCCGCGGGTGGCGGGTGGTGTAGCCTGGTTTTCTATGACACGCCGCGGCATGCGACTCTGAATCTGTCGCTGGCTCTACAATACCCTACCAGTAGATTTTATTAATACATGCATGAGTTGTTCCTTACATGGTACACCTCAAGACAAGCTACCGCTGTACGGTTTTTTGACGAAGTGCGCTCACCACAAGGATTAGGATTGACAATAAAAAGCGTGCGCATCGCACCATGAGCAGCAGTCTCGGCTTTATGCTCGGTCTGGTTATTGATCACTCGGGATGTCTTTGTCATTGTTTGCAAAGCCCTGGAACATCGCTTGCTTTATCGTAGTAGGAAAGAGGCGACCCAGTTGGCTGAAAGCAGAAAAGAGGCAGCGGGTTCGTTTGTGCGTCAATGCTCGTTTGTGCGTCAATGCACAGCGAGCATCCAAGCAGTCGCGACAAAGGCTATCTGTGAGTTGCGCACGAAAAAAAGGAGACACATCGGTGGGAGTTAGATCGATGATTGAGAAAATATATGCAGAGGGCCAGCGACAGCAACGAGCTGCTGTCTACATGGCAAAATTTTTCATATATTGCACTACTGCTGTAAGACTGCTGCATGCATATGTGTAGAGCCTCTTGTATGCGCTGTGAGGCGGGACGCAAGATAAAATATCTTCGAAAACCATCATACACCATACACCTATCGCTGGATCGACAGCAACGCTCCTTCTCTCTCTCCCGTCCCCCTCATCAGCGTATTAAGCAAATCTTTGCTAACACCAGCAGCTGAGTGTCTGGAGGGCGTCGCCCATGCTCCTCTTTCGTACTACCGCGCACAGCAGCAGTGTAGATGCACTCCCTCCATCTGAAAAACACCCCGCCGCCGTTGCCTTGCATCTCTCTCTGCAGATAATAGACAGACATGTTCTTGTCTGAAAAAAAAGAAACAGCATCGTGCACAGGAGAGCCCTCACTCAATACCGTAGCGCTATTTGGCGTGTGATCGCACGCCAAGCAGCCTGGTTCGAGTCTAAAACACTGGGCAAAGCGCTCGGGGCCGCAAAGCGATAGAGCGGGCGCATTCGGCGCGGCAGCAGTATCCATGTTTTTCCAGCTTGAGACAGCGCGCTAGGCGGGCCGCGGCCTGCTGAACAATCATTGCGCAGGCTGGTCGTGCAAAAAGCAGCCTTGCAACAAAAGCAACCGCATCGATGCTAGCAGACGGGGACGGCAGATCCGTACGACCACCACAGCTGCACGGGTGGGGATCTCTCTGTTGCGCGCCTCTACCCCCCCCCCGGGGTGAGCAGCATCGATGGCATCATGGCGTCATCGTAAACGCTAAAATGCCACTGCCCGCGGCTGGCTCTAATTGCGCAGTAGAGTTGTTGAGGAGGAACATCGCACGTTCCACTTCAGCGCTGAACGCTTTAAAGTCTCGAGAGCAGCTGCCTTTCGGGCGGATACTGCTGCGGCCCGCGGCAAAGTCGCCCAAGGTGATCCCACCACCAACGCAACCCTCCGCCATGGCCATCACCCGGCTATGCACGATCGTCCTCAGCCAGCTCTATTTCCAATTCGCTGCACCTATGGTTGTTGTTTCAGGTGAAGCTGAGCACACAGGTTTAGTCTAGAGAGAGAGCCAGACCAAAAAAACACAAAGCGACAAACAAAATCGCCGACACGTACCTACCTGTGGATAGCGAAGATAAATCTTGGTTGCCTTGGATCGCGTTGGCCAAGGCTGGCAAAGGTGTCTGCTGCACGTCGGATTCCCAGTGTCGGGAGTCGGTGAGGTCGAAAACAGAGAGAGAGCGGAGCATGTGGTGGTGTGATGTTGTGGGTCTGTTGACAGCAAATTGGCTGGCCAATGAAAGACGCCGGTCTTCGCGGTACGAAACGACTTTTTGTACGGTACGGAACACGGACGAGGGAAAATAATATGGGTCAAGTTCTAGAACACGTCCATTATCTCAATTATCTCGCTGTCTGTCGGGCGTGTAGGCTATGTTGTTTGCTCTCCCTTCGTGTGCTGCTGTGGCCGGTATCAATCTGTTCATGGCCAACGGGAGTCATACCTGGAGAATCCCGCAAAAACGCGTGAAACAACAACTACAAGCAGGACGCTGTATGTAGTACTGAAATTTTTATGCATGGGACGGGACAGAGTTCAGAGTAGAAAAAACAAGCCGGACAACAGCAAGTTGTACAACGTGCGATGACACCTACAGGGGACAGCAAGAAGAGAGGAAGAAGCGTACCCATCGATCGCTCCATTCAATTGTTCAGCGTTGTTAATAATACGTATAATACAGCGTAGATATGCACACATACGAAGACAAATAATGTAGACCCGTGTTGTCAAATTTAAGCAAAATTCGAATTTCGATGCAGAGCTTGTGTCAGAGGTCCTAACGGGTGTGAGCGTTCTGCACAGGGAAAAAAGAACGCTATTAATAGTCGAGCCAAGGAAATTCGCTCGAAATGCACATCAACGCATCATACCCTGCGCCTGTTCACAGCTTACTTACAGTGCAGTACTTCAAGTAGGACAATAGATCGATTTCCCTTCCTTGAAGCAGCCAAAACAGGACCGCTATGTATCAGCTCTTTGCAGTACATTTGATACTACAATATAATCTAGATGATAGTGGGCCGTGGGTACGAATTAACGGCATGCCACAGAGAATAATCCGAAGCGGTCACCCACCTATGCGGTGTTGGAGTCATTGTTGCCGTTGGCTTCACTTTCAAGATCGATCTAAGCTCTACCTGTCGCCGCTCTTCAAGGCAAGAAGCGAACTACTAGGTGTTGACCCCTGCCAGAATGCAGGCGCTTCACGGTGCACCTCAAACTCCAGCATGGTGGTCCCGGATCATGGAGCCGGGAACATGGGGTGTGCATGACACATGCGAAGAACGCAAGGCCTAAAGAGGATCAAGCTCTACGGTAACGTAAGGGTGTCATTGACACCGTCATACCCGTGGACACGAACGGAACGGCACCAAACCGGTGCTAAACAGCTGATTTCAGCAGACGGACCGTGTCCTTTTCCATGGGCCCACAGGACATAAACGCCTACAAACCCTCAACCCCAAAACGGCGAGTAGAGATCCAGCCACACTCTTATCGCTTCGATATCTTCCGTAGTAGCGTAGGGCCTAACTGGTAAATCAGGCATGCTGGTGAATGAGGAGAACCGAGAGTGAACACAAGGGTATTTCATCGAGTGGCTACACAGACCGCCGGAACACACACACGCCCCCTCCACGGCATCACAATCTGCGCAATCCCTTGAAAGCCCTTTCAGCTGAGACCCTCGAACAGCTGACAGGATGGACCACCTTGGGGGTAGAAGTGATCAACATGGCGGTGGCAGAACCATCTGATCCTGCCGTGTGAAACGGCCATACTACGCGCGAAGCACCACAGATGCTACTCATAGGCCGACTGCTGTACCGCCAGGCACGCGTGTTCCACATTCAGAACTTGACCACATACGGCAGACGTCGCGACTTCCCCACTCCGCAAAAGAAACCGTAACCTATCCAAGGACAAATGAGACGTCTTTTCACGGTAGTCGAGGCGTTTTTCTCTCGCCCCCATCAGTCGTCGTGCAAGTGCCCCTGTCCGACATCGGGTACCGGAACCACTGCTGGTACATCCTGACGGTCCACGGCAGGCACCTGCCCGCAAAGCTGCTGTACAATCCTAGGCGCGCGCATGAGCTGAGCGAGACACGAAGGTCGAGCAAGGAACGCCAAGGTAGAGGGGCAAGGACGGGTTCAATTTTCACCTACGAGAGGTCGGGATGGACAGCTACGAAGGGACCGGAGTGTTGCCGACCACTTCTCCTGTCCCATGGGTTGGTGCTTGACTCGCAGAACCGAGGCGAAGAGAAGGGATAGCCGGCAGAACATCCGTGCTGCCGATGACTACAGACGTATGGCTCATGCACTAACGTTTCATTCGAAGCTCTGGGGCAAAGACGTGTGCCTTTGGGCGATCCCATCTATTGCTACTGTAGTGGACTACTCTAGAATACTTGTACCATGATGCACATTGGCGCTAGCGGGCACGACACTGAACGGCGGTGCGATCGGTCTTGAACACGGAACACGGAACACGGGACACGGAATCGACACCACATCACACCACATTTCCCGACTTGGGGGTTTTGCCAAACCCGGGACCATCGATGAACAAAAGCATTTTACTTGCGGAATGCCATGCAAGTACGCATGCAAGGACGGAGGTCGCCAGCAAAACGGGGCCAGGACAGCCGGTGCACGCTAATTTGACCCGGCATAAGATACGACACATAGATGCGTTCCAACCTTTCTTTAAGGCGTAAATAATCCCGATAGCGGTTTGAGAAGGAAGGATGCCCCCCCCCCAGACAATAAACACGCTCCCAAAGGCCGGCCAGGGATTATCCCAAACAGCAGAGTAAATCCAACGGGTCGCACGCTAAGTCTAGGGTTGCATGAATGCTCCGCACACACCTGCTTCCACTTCCAGCCCCTGATGTTCGCCACTTCCGGGTATACGAACTCTAGGAAATAGAAAAGGTGACCAACGGCGATGCCCAACTGAGGACACGAGCGACAGGATTACGTCAGAGGGGGCGGGTGGGTCGAAGGAGGGAGACGCACAGGACAAGTCTAAGAGGGGACAAGGCCAACAAGTGTTCAGAAATACAACAGATTGGGTAAACTGAGCGACAGCGCGCGGTATCTATGTTTGTCAGCATGTTGAGGGCAGATGGATCATTGGCCCGGTGGTTTCGTAACGTGGACAACCATGATGTGCACTACCATGTTGTGCACGATGTGTGCCCCCGCCCGACACGGCGCCTATTCGAAGACGACAGACTACACCGCCTGCACACCAAGGTGCCTCAACTTGCACCGAAGCAGCGTCGCCCTTCCGAAGCTATGCAGGTAGTACCATGATATCAGGACAGGGCAATTTTGGGGTTTACCACAAGACAGCGGTAATTGCTTCTCGGAGAACATATCTACGCGTAGGCGAGAGGCGGAAAGCACGCACCAGATCGCTTTTCAGCGGCGATCCTAGAACTGCCGACAGGAGGAGCAGGACCCACGGTAAGTACGGCGCGGTGAAGGGGAACATCCCCAGCAGGTTCATTCTCACGTGCTCGTTTCTCCTGCCGACGCAAGGACGTAAAAAAGGGCCCAACAACGGACGAGGGTAAGCCACGTGTAAAATGCCGGCATGTGCGCAGCAGCAGTGCGTGCGACCGTCAGATTATCGACGAGGGACTTACTCCACGTGCCTCCTGGCATAGCAAAGAAAAAGAGGGTGGTAATGGGCAGCATGCCATGCTGCCCCGGAAACAGTACTTAACGCTTGTATGGGGCAGAAAACAAATGGGCCGAGACAACTCTTCGTTCATATTACAAATAGTGTGCCACGCCTTGCCACCGCTGAACCGCAAGTGAGCCCTTTTGCGTGCAGCTAGATACCTCCCTCCACGTTCGTCCCACGCGCTTTTACCTAGAGTCAGCTCCACCAGCATGGTCTGCGGAAGATCAAACACGCTCTTCCTGCAGCACCGAGTAAACACCATTCATGTCTACATCTACAGCTACACACAGCATCCGTGCTCATTGTGCTCGCGCTCAAGCACCCACCTCCCCCAGACGTAGACCATCATGAACGCCAGCGGTCGGCCAAGGAAGTTCATTGCCAAGTAGGGGGCCGCCCCTATCATGAGCGAAGCGCAGAACAGCAAGAACCACACGAAGTCTCCCGTTCTCCCCCTGAAGTCTCCCTCCTCGAGTAATCGGCTATATCTCACCTGGTTTGGTGTGCCAGCGGGTAACAGGCAGAGATAGGCGATTGTTCTAGGTGCTTCAAAACGCTACCGGGCTTACGATGGTACCCGATTTCCTTTCCCGTTCAGAGAAAAAGAGCGCAGTGTATGTAAACTTCGTAGAGACTAGATCTAGACTAGACTACTGAATGTAGCCTTTTGAGATGAGCTCACGTTCCCTTTTCTTATTGAGCAAGAAGTCTGACCTTTGCGCATGTCACCCTGAAACCGCAACTATTGTTGCCCTTTATCGTTGTCCCTTCTGTGGCAACCTTGCTGTACTTGTTGATTAGGTGCTGATGGTAGATACGCATCCTTAGTGTTGTTGGATACAGTACTCACGAGGAAGTACATGTGGAAGAGAAAGTGCACGTCCAGCGCCCCGAAGAAGAAGAAGTTGGTTACTAGCCGCCACACCTGCCCCTTGCATATCAGCGGCCAGCTGAAGAAGAGCTTCGTCGAAGAGGTGGCATCCAGCTGGCACATGGCCTATCCTCCCACGAAAACGGCATCAGCGATAAGCAAATCGCAAGGTCGGTTGGGTGCACAGCATAGTACTACATATTGCCGAGACGATACTTGCATTTACTCTGCCTCAAGTGATCGTTAGACAATTGATGAGTGGCTGGTCATTCTGTCACGGTGATTCGACGCAACAACGTGGGGTTGCTGCTGCTGCAACATAGGAAAGATTCCAGCAGTAGGTGGGACACGTGTCTCCCCACAAATAAATGGTATGTTTGTTCTCGGAAGAGCACATCGGCAAGTGTTTCAACCGTTTTTGTCTCTCCGACAGAGAGTTCAAAGGGAGAGCAGTGCCGACATATTCGTGGTTCGCTCCATCGAACCACTACATGGTACGAAGTGGGTGACACGATCTCGCCAACCAACACACCTCAAGGGGGGTCGCGTTGTTTATATAGCAACGCCGGGGGTTGCACTGGTTGGGTACTGCTTTAGTCTACAAACTGTCTTCCACAGCTGACTGTCTGATGATCGGATCGAGTTGCCGATTTCAAATGCAGAGGAAGCTGCGCCTTGGGACTCACCGTTGTAACAAACGCAGCCGTCAGATACACCCGGGTCACCACGGGTATATCATAATACCAAGATAGCGGGTCAGCGGGAGCATTGTTCATCTCGCTATCGTCGTGTGTGCTGTGGTGAATGTGTGTCCTTGCTGTTCCCTACATTGGTTGCTTGACTCTTGCCTGGGTACCTTATTTGGATAGAATGATCTTGCGGACTCCCTAGGCTGGCACCAGCGACTTACACGCTGCTTCACTCCCCAGCTCCCGTATGGCCCTCGCTGGCGTCACTGACGACGTTCACAGTGGTGAGTAAAACTACAGTACCGCTTGCCTGATCTGCAAGTTTCGTTGTCCAAGAGGAAGGCAGCAGTGTATTGTCTCCAGAAAACAGCATGTCGAACTGTATCTCTCAACCCAAAATCGACGTGTGGTATGCTTACGCCTCTTTGTGTCCTTTTGTAATATGTAATATCAGCACCCGCTCTTTTTCCCTTTCCCATCGCTGCGCGTCTTCTGGCTTCGCCCTACCACGACTGCTGTAACCTGGTGCCATTCGCATTCGCATCTGCACGAAGAAGTGGAGTCGATCGTGAACCTCGACTCCGCCCCTGGGAACCCTGTCTGTGGTCCGAGTACCGAAAACGTCATCATCGTAGGTGGAGCAGGTGGAAAAGAAACTGAATCTCTTCAACCAGTTGACGATTCTGATCGTCATGACGGCGGTGCACACAGCAGCGACGGCACGACGGACCCCATACCTGCGGATATTTCCACCACAGGTACTGACTGCTGTCGCACGACAACAAGCCGAATGTCGATCACATAGGATGCACGTCAGCACCGATCGTATTATGTGTGGGTGTCCTTCATTTTGTCGAATGCATCGCGAAATACTGACCAATCAACGACGACCTCCTCCATTCGAGGTACTGTTGTAGCTGAGGGGCTTCAGCTCCCGTCCATGACTCTTTGTGAGAGTCAGATCCAACACTGTAGACGCAGCACGACTTGAGTGCCAGGTGGAGCGAGAGGGGGCATATATCCACTGCATTTCATGCGCAGATCTCGAAATGCGCACACGTTTTGGTTGAGATAGGGCACTTGCCGAGAAGAAACAGATGCCACGTTCTCGAACGATTTGATCAGATGCCGTTGCCAAGGAGACGGAGTACCTAAGCGAGCCGGCCCGGAGATGGACTAAGCTAAGACAAAACTTCCGCCTCGTGAGTAAAACCAATCGCGTGCAGCTAGCTCTTGCGCGTAAGAATCTCCAGGTTTGGGGGTTGGTTCATTGTTCCTAGGTTATGCTACGAATGGCCTCTAAACAGGTTTTGGTGAAGCGGTTCTCTACTGAGCTTACGAATGGTGCTCAAGTTCTTAGATCTTGAGTTTTTCAATGCTAATCAGCTTCTTACCTGACGAGATTTTAGGTTTTTTTAGGCTTATTAGCTTCTTAACTGCCAAGTTCTTGAGTGCGGGCGCTACCTATTGTACAATTCTGCGAATGACGCGTGTATGTATGATACATGGCCGGCATGGCGTGGTAGCATTCACTCACGCATGCAACGTGCATCCTGCTTCACTAGATGAAACGTTAACGTTTGTTAGGTACGGCGAGCGTTCGCTGGCGTTGTTTGGAAACATGTACCAACATGCTGGCCTTCTGCCTCCCCTTTCTCCGCACGAGCTTGATCTAGTCGGTGGGAATGTGACCATGAAAACTTTCCTTACATGTTGCCGTCTCACTAGCCTTCCCACTCGAGTTGATACTGCCTTCGCCCTGATTTTTCCCCCCTGCCCCCTCAGGCGGCGCTACGGTCCATCGCCCAAGACAAGCGGGAAGCTCTCAAGAAACTTCAAGAGGTGTGTTCGTAGTTTGCTCATCCCGGTTCGTTCGCCACTTCGTTCACGCACAAAGAACCCCCCACCACTTGAAAACCCGGGAGATGATATGGCTAGAACACCGATAGGTTGAAGAACTCGTCTACAAGAACAGGTGGTCAGTTAAGACTCCTACACTAAAAACAATGTCGGGTTACCCCATAGAAGGAATAAGAAACGACTTGTATTCTACGTGGTACGAAGCATGTTCTGGAGGGCCCAAGAGACCACTCGGAGACATCGCTCCTTGGCGCAGGAGTGTTTGGTCCTTCTCTTCAAGGCGGTGGAAGCAATGCACTGGGGTATATCAGGTTGAAGCCCAGAAACGTGGGAACGATCTCCAGGCAAGACTTGACAAATCACCTTCTATATGCAAAAAATGCGGTGTACAGGTGTCGATGAGAGCCGAAACGAAAGAGGCATCCTACCTACTTACACCGTTTCTATATTCAGAATGTTGGTAGATAGCTATTTACAATGGACGCATCTTGTGTTCCCCCTCTGTCGATGGTGTGGATTCTCGTCACCCAAGGTTAGGAAAAGAGCAGACAAGGCCCAGGAGGCCCAGAGTGATAGCCGAACGTGCAAGATCTGCTGGGACAGGTGAAGACTCTAGGCCATAATTAGCTCTGCGGCTGTTTGGTGTTTTTGCTTGAACCGCTGAGCTCCATTACCTCGAGATCACGACATCGAGTCGCTGCTGATATTTTCCCACGAACGGATACTACGAAACAGTTGGTTGTGGCCGGGTTTCTGGAGAGGCCCTTTATCTTTCTGACACCTTGGCTCGAAAGGTTGCTGTGGTGGGCATGCATGCGCATGTTGTGTTGTTGTTGCGATAGGTAGTTAGTTGGCCCATGAACACGGAAGGCGCCCGCATCAGTTGGACTGGTGCTGGTAGTAGAAGGTACTGAGCAGAGACAGGCCGTAACGGTGTTCGACGTGAAAACAACAACAACAACAACAACAACAACAACAACAACAACAATCTAGCTCCTGTACTGCTGTGCAGTGCCCGGGTTGGTTCAATCGTTTCGTAGCCGTGGAGTGATATCACCTGTTTACTTCATGACGAGTCTTTGTTGGTAGTTGTCGTGGGTAACCGTTGTCAGTCCCATGGCGCACGTTTGGTAGTTGGCGTGCGTAGCACTGCCCACTGCGTGCGATCGACAGGAGCTCGGACTGCAAGTTGCTGTTGCAAGTATTCTTCCGAGTATCTCGGGCGTTAATATATCACGTCCGCTGCTTGGCCGTCGCAACGCCCGCAGGGCGACGAATACCGTGTGCTTGGACTGCGGACACCAGTGCATGTGCACAAGGTGTGGGGCGTGCATGACATTCTGCCCCATTTGCATGCAGGTATGCACACGCTGTACATTCTTCCGGGTAGTACTTGTACAACGTGCATATGGAAGCATGCTTGGCACACGCTTGTCGGAGTGGGGGCACGGCTGCCCTGGGTGCTCTATCTCTGCGTAGCATCAAGCAACACATTGCTTGGGGGAACATGTGCCGTCTGATTTTTTTCGACTTGGTCACTTATGCTTTAGGGACGTGTTTTCTATGCAGATGGTAAAAGGCCCAAATGGGGTGCAACCAGCATGTGTTTGCGTGTATGTACGCCGGCATGTTTTGTCAAAACGGAATTTCCGATTGTGAAGTATCAAGCAAAGCACGAAGGCTTCATTCAAAATCACATCGCAATTGTTGAGTGACGGCCTCGACTTCCGGTGTTCGCCATCAAACACGCAACAACACAACAGGATATTACCGACCTGGTGGAGTTGCAATAGCAGCAAACACCGCCCACCCCGCACGGTCCTCTGGCGAGTGGAGCTGGGACAAGCTCGGAATGGCGTGTTGCAAGGCGTTGCGTCTACTTTTATTTATTGGTGCCTGGCAGTTTCCTGGAGTTCGGCAGACAACGGCGGTGCTGCCAAGTGTTGCCAAGGTTTATGTTGATTGTTTTTGGAACGTTGTTTTGCAGGGGCACATTGTGTAGCCGAGAGATCGGAAGATCAGTCTCTGTCGCGTAACCTTTGCCGTCACAAGGACAACCGGGTGACCAGTTTGTGCAAGGCATTTGTATTTTCGGAAGTAGACGCTAGAGCGGCGAATGTCTTCCCTTCGTAGCCCCCATGAGTGACGGGAGAGGTGAGAGGTGTTGATGTTGGTGACGCGGTGGTTCGGTGTCTGGCTATCTGCGGGTTTGTATTTCCAACGATATTGTGAGTGGTCCGGGCGTATTGTCCATTTAACATACTCGTATGTAGAAGGAGTCCTCAGCCCAGGTTTGGTTTTTTGGATAGAGAAAACAGCGTGCTTGATTGATACCGGTATCATTTTTTTTGTTTGTATTCTAGTAGGCGGATAGTCTGTCTGCTACCCTAAGGTAGAGGCCGGCGGCAAAATATGGCGCCCCTCAGGCCACGCTCTGATGTCCACTGTTTGATCTCCAACTCCTGTCAGACCAATAAGTATGGATACCCTGCGTTTTATTATCATTTATCGCAGTATGTTTCCCCAACTCGCCGACTAACTCCGGTCTGAAGGAATCCAGCACCATCCTCCCCTTGGCACTGCTGCGTGATTCAGCCATTTGTGACGGCAGGTTTCTGCGCACTTGTGCGAACACGTGCCTGCGGAACAATATCTCACCCCCACTTTCAAACATCAATTGTGCCTTATATAGCGACTACAGCAGAGAGCTCGAACCAAGGCTGCAAAGGAAAGGAAAGGAAGAGGTTAGACCCCGATTTATGGGAACAAAATATTGTCGATAAATGTTGATCTTGGCCAAGATCTGCCAGTTTCACGATTTATGGGAGCGAAATCTTCCGATATATCTTGGCCAAGATATCTCGAGGCCCGACATCTGCCCATTCGAACAAATCTTGAGGCAGCGTAACGAATCTTGCCTGGGTGCGGCGCGATCACCGAAGGTCAGTCAACCTAATCGTCCATAACGCCATGAAATCTGCACGTGGAACACTCGCAAGGGTCTCTAACGCACCCTGGCGTCACTGTGTTGGCGCCACGGGCGCCGACAGCGAACGAAAACAACCAAGGCGGTCGAAAAAAATGCGTATTTGCCCTGGCTCGTTCCACGTGCGTCATCACCAGTCTGTCGAGGGACCGTTCAAAGAGTACTTTATTTTGAAGTAGAAAAATAGAGGAGGAGGAACGTCTTGCCAACACTGCTCTGTCGTGTGCGACGCTTCTATCTCTTCATCGAATCACCCCACACCCAACCCGTTTGCACCCGAGCCAAATCCGTGAGTGCAGATGACAGCGCCGGAGGCTTGACCTCGGCACCTGCTACATAGTGAGATACGTGCATGGGTGTCATCGGCCTCGGGTTGAAGCACTTTCTTGTCAGTTCGACAGCAATGGAACAATTTTGTTTCTCCGCTTGACATGAGCTTGTGGGCAACAGCTTCTATTTTGCACCCCAGGTAGGCGCCCATCGTTAGTATCTACCCACAGGGTTGAGGCAATGCAGCTGGGGGAGGGACGCCCCTTCTACAACTGCGTCATGCTCACGTTTCGCCACACCTCGGTGTTTTCTGTGGACCAAGTGGCCGTGGTGCCTTCATCAACTTCATGCAGAAGAGAGGAACAACACGCCGCTTTTTCAACATTCAAGATGTTTCCCCCATAAATCGCGATACTGCAAATCTTCGCCGGAAATATATTGTGAGCAAATCTTGGGTCAAAATGCCAAGATATATTTGCAAGATTCTGTTTCCACAAAGAAGGGTCTTAGGGCACAAGTTCTGGCTCTCGTGAACAGCACTCAGAAAACATCCAAAACTAGAGAGGGGCATGGGTCCGACCTATGAGATGATATATGGCTTGCCCTCCATGGCTTGCCCTCCAGCAGTGAAACTTGCACACAGGCCTTGGAGACCCTTCCTTGCCTCTGATTGCCTCGTTTTTGCAGGCCTCCTCTTGATGGATGGGTTGCCGGGCAGAACAAATGCCTTGACCGAAACCACGCGGCCGTTCGATGACCATGCACTTGGTTGACAAACACTATCGATGGTTGTCCCACAAGCCTTTCTCAGGACCGTTATCACTCAAAAATCTGCCGGCCAATCCTTGGACGCTAACTCCTCGTTGTATAATCGAGCCACGGATCGAAAGGCTCGCATGTCGCCTGCTCTCACCATATTTCCTGCACGCGAGAGCCGTTGTGGTTGAAAGCGGTCAGTTCGGTAGAAGGGGGCGGTGTGGTCGGTGCAGACACAACGGTCCGTGAAAGCTGCAGACTAATTGTTGCGCCTATTCCGGGCTCGCACAGTAAGCGACAAACATGCTGGGGAGCATGGACCGCACGTGAGGCCAACCCACGGTTAACAAGCAGTGGTATCCGTCACGAAAGTCAACATTATAGAAACAAACAAACGCCAAACGCTATAGGCATGCACCTATTCACACACCGTTGTTGAGGCAACATCAGCGGACAAAGTGATGGTTGGATTCGCTTGGATTTGGCATGACATACACAAACATACGTCGGAGTTTTGGTTCACGTTTCCCATGATATCCAGTAAAACTAACAAAACCCATTCAATTGAAGCAATCAACTATTAATAGAGGTGAGATTGAGAACTCTGCTCGTCCTACACGATAGGCGACAGAAATCCGCAAAATTTTGGCCCCAGATCAGACAATGCAGGGCGTAGAGGTCTAAAAACCAGCAGCTTGGCCATTGTACATACCTGCATCACAGTTGAGGGGGCTGTCTGCCTCAGGGTGAGCAAGCAGGGCCAGGATTGCTCTGCAGGCCCCCTGAACGAGCAGGAAGCACGCAACAAAAAACACGGGATGGATCAAGCCGGCAAGGCATCAGACGGTTCGGCGTGAGCATGTGGCCATGCGACAATACGTAGCCAGCAAACCTTGCGACACCAGCTGACTGGTCGGTAGAGTCATGGTGTGGTGGTGTGTGCGATCAGTCACATGGAGCGGGCTGAAGCAAGCTTGTGGCACCGTTCGCGGGTGTAATGTTGCCGGCTAACATTGGAGGGTTTGTGCTCTAGTTATGCACACAGGTAAATCCCCGTGGCAACACCTCGGTGGCAACGAGAAACTGTCACCAGAATGCTGAGGTTGTCAAGGAAGGTGGGTTCGTTTCGTTAATCTTGCTGCTGCTGCTGCTGCTGCTGCCGCCGCCGATGTCACCGAAGCTCAAGACTTTGCTTGAAGGCACCAAAACCGCCTTTGGTGATCCCGCAACCCAACGTATGGTTCAACGTCAGAAAAACGAACAGGTCGCTGACGGTTAGGAGCCTCACCTGCAGGCTCCACGCAGGAGACCAATCTTTCTTGAGAATGTTGAGGCAGATTTCGCCAGTCTGGGAAAGAGGGATTGAAAGGGGTATGATGTATGCACCACCAGTACGCAAGAAACGTTGACGAGACGTGTCATGCCACGTTAACGGGCGGATATCAATCGCACCACAGCGTCAATATGACCAAGGGAGATGTCTCTACATACTGAGGTACGACAGAATTCGGGAAAATACGTTCTACGGCTTGTAGAAGACAGTGGTGACGGCGACAGCAACAACAATGACGCAATCTGGCTGAGCCTCTTTAGCTGCTTCCCTCGGGCATATCGACATGCAGCCTGGATTAGACTTGAGTACGGTGGCTGACATACCAACTATAGAGTCCGAAATCAAACCATTAGACTAGTCAGCTTTGAGAGTTAGTCGAGGCCGGCTGGATACTTTGAGGTGTTCTTTTTCCTGAGACCCTAGAAAACTCCCGGCCAGAGCATGGGTGACAGAAGCACTCGTCCGAGACCCTAAAACATCCTGCAGGATGTTGGTGGCTGTGTGTGTGAGTGTTATGAAGCGAAAGAGAGATTGGACGGATAATAGCGCTGGCAAGGGGATTCACCCTCCTCGGAAGTGAAAGTGCCAGGGCACACGAACCCCACGACTAACTCTTAAGAAGCCGATATCACACCATTAGACTAGACTAGTCTGCGCTGAGTAGTCTAATGGTTTGATTTCGGCTTCTATGCAACCCTGAACATCGTACATACGCAAAACTCACGTTAAAGTGCACGTTGGGGTGGAAGACCTTCGTGACGAACCGCATACATGGAGGCACCATGGGGTACTGTTGCCCCACCGTGATTTTCAGCTCGTAGATGCCTGTCGGAATGCGGGGTGGGTGTCGTTGCTTCACGATGCTTGACCTCCGGCGCGGTACACCTGAAGAAATATCGAAACACTTTGTACATACATCAGGAGCCCTAGCACCAGGAGAACCACAGTGGTCCCCCCCTTGCCGCAGCTGCCAGCAGCAGCGGAGCTACGATCGTTGTACTACAGTAGTACTCCAGGTGGACATGACCCAGCGGCTGTTCATACACACGTACACTGCACAGCAACACAAGAAACACAACGCTTCACCGATATGTATCGTGATAAAAGGACCCGTCGCACGGCAACAAAGCCGCGACGCACTTCTGCATACAAGTACCTCCTGCGAACGGTGTGTCTGGCGGCCCCCGAATGTACGCCCGCCACTGTCGAATGTCGTCCTCGTCGGCAGACATCCTGATGTCTTCGTCCGGTGGGGAGGTCTGCAGCTTGTGCATCTCTTTCCGTAGTCGTTTCGCGGAAGTCAGAGACATTCGCCAAACGCAGCGAGTCTATGCAAAGAATATGGCAGCTATTTTGCTGCCGCAAAAGTGCCCGGTACGTGCGAATTGATCAAGAGCTCCAGACTCGGTGCTTTGCAGGCCTGATCACAGTTAGAGTTGGGTGGCGTTTCAGGGGGGCGGGAAATGACAGCACCACGTTTACCCACCAGTTCCTTTGGGTGCCTAAACCCGGAGGTCCTGCGTAGTATGTAGCTCTGCCAAACAAAGTAAAATCGCGACCTAGCAGCAGGAATTCTCAATGTGCACATCGGGGCGGGGGAAACGGCCTGTGTACGTGCTGGCTGGTATTGGAACGGGGGGTATCGGGACGGCAAACTGACTCACCCCGTGGTTGAGAGAACGTCACCGTGCATAAAATTTGTCCAGCGGCGGGATGTGCGAAAGTGGGACGAGGGACGAGCGACAAGGAGAGGCATTTGCGCCGCATGCCGCAGCCGCATGGAACCAAAATCGTAATTTGTTTTTTGAAAAAAGGTTTTGGCTGCCTCTAGGTCACGTTTCGGAGGGTAAACGCGGAAACCGCATCTTCAGAAAGTATTCCTAATATTGAAGTAGCGTGGAGTCCCAGTGTCCCAGTCCATCACCCATCAACTGTCTTCCATCGACCCGGGGTGTAAGCAAACACAAGAGAACTCGTGTGAGAGACATCTTCACATCCTGGGCAAAATTTTAATGTACCGGGACAGAGCTTTTAGGAGTTTAGTTATGCGGGCGAAGCCCGCCAATAAACGGTTAAACCCATTCATCTGCGAGCCAAACGCTTTCAAAATGTTGCACCTCACTCAATGCATCGATGAAGGAAAGGAGACACCAGAGCAGAGACGCCGTCACTAGGGTAGAAAAAGAATCACCGGGCAGATATTCTGCCATGCGGGTTGTCAACAAACCGACGCGTCGGGATGGATGGATGATTGATGGCGATTGCTTTGGGTGGGGTGTTCACTCCAATAAAGAACCTACCGATAGATGGAGTCAAGAGAGCGAAAAAAAACAACGCGGAGCTGCCAGAGCATCATCATCACGTTCCTTGAAGTTTTCTGGCGAGAGGACGGGCGTGCAGATGATATAAAAGCATGCATGGATCCCTGGGTGTGGGTACTACTACTGCTGTGCTGCAGTAGCTCGACATAAAAATATTCGCGTGTGTGTGCGTGATGCGTGCGTGCGTGTTTGTAGCTCTTCATCTAGCGGGTGCTGCTGCGTACTCGTCATCGACACTCAGTGTGGGTTGACATTGCGAAACTTCGTGCACACAGAAACCAGAATGGTCTCTGCTGCTGTTGGCGTCTGGTATGCATCAGTTGCAGCGCCCAGGCTCCCGCCTGATGTGTGTCGGTCTCTGAACTGGTTGGTTCGAATGAATGCGGTACGCCCAGAAGAAAAAGCGGCGTAATGGCCAAAATCACTCGAAAATAGACAAGGCGCCAAGTAGGCGCCAAGTTAAATGGAGACAGCTGATTGGCGGACGCCAAGTTAAATCTGTCCCGGTGGCTTTTTTTGCTGCCACAGCTGTCTCCATTTAAAGCATGGATTTTTGTCAGTTTTTTTACTCGATTAAAGTATCGAAATTTCGGACAGGATATCTTTATTGCTTTTTTCGGATGTGGTGTTTTTTGTTGCGTGCTTCCTGCTCGTTCAGGGGGCCTGCAGAGCAATCCTGGCCCTGCTTGCTCACCCTGAGGCAGACAGCCCCCTCAACTGTGATGCAGGTATGTACAATGGCCAAGCTGCTGGTTTTTAGACCTCTACGCCCTGCATTGTCTGATCTGGGGCCAAAATTTTGCGGATTTCTGTCGCCTATCGTGTAGGACGAGCAGAGTTCTCAATCTCACCTCTATTAATAGTTGATTGCTTCAATTGAATGGGTTTTGTTAGTTTTACTGGATATCATGGGAAACGTGAACCAAAACTCCGACGTATGTTTGTGTATGTCATGCCAAATCCAAGCGAATCCAACCATCACTTTGTCCGCTGATGTTGCCTCAACAACGGTGTGTGAATAGGTGCATGCCTATAGCGTTTGGCGTTTGTTTGTTTCTATAATGTTGACTTTCGTGACGGATACCACTGCTTGTTAACCGTGGGTTGGCCTCACGTGCGGTCCATGCTCCCCAGCATGTTTGTCGCTTACTGTGCGAGCCCGGAATAGGCGCAACAATTAGTCTGCAGCTTTCA